AATAACTGTAGCAACCCACTTTCATGATGATAACAACTCACTCAAATAATCATAACAATCTGCATTAGTAACCCTATTAACAAGCTTGTATTAACCATTGCAAGGTATCATATTGGTTATAAGAACTTGCTCTAATGATTAGAAGAAAGTACTACTATTGCCATATGAACTGGCTTTGGCCATCATAAGAATTTACTTTAGTAACTATAATAACAATGTATTGGCATCTTATTAATTTTCATAAGAACCATAAGAAAGTACTATTATTATTAAATAGTGCACCCTAAGAACCTACTATAACTACCATTAGACCTTACTGTAATGGCCATAACAACTCAGTGTAATGGCTATAACAACCTACTCTAACAGTCTTCCCAGCTTACTGTAATGATCATAAGAAGGTATTACAATTATCATAACAAGTCACTATGATCACTCTAATGACCATAAGAACCCCCTCTAACTGTCATAGAAAAAAGGACACTTCAATGTCCATAAGACTCACTCTAATCACCATATGAACCTGCTGTAATAACCCTATCAATGTGTTTGTAGTTGGTTATGAGACTCACCACTTTTACAAGTACAAAAAAGGATTACACTGATTATAAGAACCTACCCTAATCACTATAAGAAAGTATCATGATCAACATAATAACCCACTCTAATAGTCATAAAGACATACTATAATCATCATAAGAACATATTCTAATGGTTATAAAAACATACTATAATAGCTATAACAACTTACTATATTGATTATGATTATCCACTCTAATGACCCCCAAAAGCTGTTGCCCCTACAAAGCCATTATAATGAAGATAACAAAGTACTCTAATAATCATAATATGTCTATATTAGTCATAGAGAAGGTTATATTCACTCTAATGACCATAAGAAAGTGTCCTAATAATGTTACATAGTTACTGTAATCACCATTGAAACCAATTTAATGATCATTAGAATCTGCTCTATTGACTATAAGACCTACTCTAATAATCATTAGAAACAACACTAACAATCATAAAAACTCACTCTAATGATCACTAGAAGGCACTATAACAACTCACTCCAATCATAATAAGTGATGTAACCATCATAACAATCCACTTTAATGACCCCACACATGTGTTTGTATGGTCCATTAGAAGCAATTATATTGGTTATATGAACTCACTCTAATGACTATAAGAATGTATTATCACCATTATATGAACCCACTTTAAGTACTATTGTAATTGGTCATAACAACCTGCTTCAATAACTATAGAAAAGTGGCCCAATGACCCTACAAAACCATTATAATATGGCAACAAAGTACTCTAAACATCACAACATCTTACTCTAATACCCATAAGAATGTGTGTTTTTATGACCATTAGAAGGTATTGTATCAGTCATAAGAACCTGCTCTAATGATTATGAGAATGTATCCCAATGATATTACAAAGTCACTATAATCACCATTGAAACCAATTCAATGACTATTAGAATTTGTTCTAATGGCCATAAGGATTTAGAATATTTACTGTATTCAGATGAGCATAAGAACCCGCTCTATTGGCCATAAGCATCTGCTCTATTGGCCACAGAAAGTATGCTTATACAGCATAAAGAAACCAAGCTAACACCGGGCTGTGGCAAGGCCAGCCACCCGGGGCTTGAATTCCGG